ACTTTATGGGGCTTGATTCCTTTGGGGATTAGCAGCGATACATATTAGCATGATTTTCTCCACTTAAAGTCTCAAGAATGTAATTTTTAATTAAAAAGAAAAATAAAAATGTAAATACCCCAGTTGGAAAGATTTTTGTAGGACTCACGTAACAATACCCTTAAAAAAAAGACAATTTATTTTCTGGTGATGCTATTTACCCTTTAATTAAAAAGGAAAATTTTATAATTAATATAATTTACTTGTATTCTATTCTTTCTCAAACAACTATTCCCACAAAGTTATGTAATCATGGCCATCCCTGAGTAGAAAGCTTATAATTAGTATAGTCACATCTACTTTTCATCTACTATTTATTTGCTTGTGTTTATTTATACAAAAGAAATGTGCTAAGGAGGCATTCTAACCTAGGGGGAAGCTCCATGAATGCACAGGCTATACTTTTCCAAATGAATACCATAGAGCTTCCAGGAAACTAACAAAATTTCCTTCTTGGATGAACCATCACAAGGTGAAAAGCAGAGTCAGGTATGGACTATTTTCTAACTGGCTCATGTGTAATAAATGATAGGCAATGTACAGACAAACTTAATTTTAAACAGGATCTAAAAATTTAATTCATGTGACAAGGACCTAAAAATTATATCGAACTCAAGCATCCCTTTCGCAATCAGAGAGACTTCATGCCTGATTTGTCTTCAACATTCAGGCCTGTTCTTCAGTAATCTAATTTCATGGCGTAAAATCCTGAAGAAAAAACTAAAAATAGTGAATAAGGAATAGTCTTGCTAAGTTGAAGTTAAAGGTGCTGCTGTTGCAATAAAATCAGTCAATTTTCTCTACAAAGAAGAAAGCTGTGTGGTTGAATTTCAAACTATGGGTGTTAGATGTCATTTTTGTCAACAAATTGTAAAATAATTACTTTTCAGGAATCATACAAACCTATAAGAATATTCTTCCACCAAATCTTAGTGATAGTGCTAAGATTTTTTGGCTGAGAGTGAATTTTTTTTTTTTTTAACTTCTGAGTGTTTTCCCACCCTGTGCTGTATTTACCATTAAACAAGAAGTCTTTGCAAATATTCAAAATAGCTCCAAGCAATGAGATGCTCACAGACCTTCCTGCTAGAGACTGTCAGGATGAGAGCGAGGTGGTATCTGTAGTGGGCAAAGTTTGTCCACATAGCTTCCTGATCAGAGAGGCAGAGGTTTCTGCCAGAGTCATTGTTCCCACTACAGAAAAATACAAGTGACACTGGCACTCTGTCCCCCATCTTCTGTGGTCTCTCTGGGCCAGAGGCACCCAGGTCTGAAGTGGAACCCTGAAATACTAAAAGCTGATGAAGGTTATAATGTTCCTTATTTTTCAGTCCCTTTCCTTTAGGAAGGGTAAATTAAAAAAAAAATTGCAATCTCTCAGTTACAATTAGGTTTCCGACTATCTCTTGTGGAACTTGAGGAGAACTGGTACAGATGCAGTTTGTGTTTCTCTGTCCACTGTGATAATGGGGGTCAGAGGTCGGGCTGCAGGCCTCACAGTGGTATGAAGAGCAATAACCCAATTTCTAGGCTGAGCCAAAGACAACAGTAACCTCCAAACAGAGCCTGGGTTCAGGGCAGAGCTCATTTTCACTGGCTAGATTTCATTCCCTTTGACGGCCTAGACACTCTTGATGCAGATGATGGTCATTCCTATGTGAAACTATTATTTGCATATTTGGAAATAGTCTGAGAAAATGAAACACCTGAAAAGTCCTCATATTTGGACATTGTGTGAATAAAAAGCTAACTGATAAGAAAATTTTACCGTGTAATGTAAAATTACATTAAAATCTCTGATTTTAAAAGCACTAATATTTGATTGAATTCTAAACATTCTTTTTTGTAAGGTCAGTCTCTTCCAAAGACTACAGACTCTAGATTCAAAACGTTTAAGTTCAAATGTGGGTCTGTTACTTAAGGGAGTGATCAAGGACATATTAGTTGTTTAATGACTGGCAAATTATTCCAAAATGTAGTGGCTTGAACAGTATACATTTATTATCTCACACTATGTCTTTGGGTTAAGAATTCAGAAGCTGCTTGGCTGGGTGGTTCTGGCTCAGGATCTCTTATGAGAGTGCAATCAAGATATTATGGGTGCTGGTGTTATCTGAAGGTTTGCCTAAGGCTGGAGGATCCTCTCACACCTAGAAAATTAATGCTGACCATTTTCAGGAGGCCTCAGTTCCTCACCAGTGGGCCTCCACATAGCAAGGCTTGAGAAGGGATCCTCAGGACATGGCTACTGCCCTCCCTCAAGATGAGGGATCCAAAAGCAAGCACAGAGAAAGCGATGGTGCCTTTTATGAACTAGTCTCAGAGGTCACACGTCACTCTCAGCACATTCTGTTCCTTCAAAGCAAGTCCAACCACATTCAAGGGAAGGGAAATGAACTTCACCTTTTGAAGGGAGGAGTATCAAAGAACTTGTGGACATACTTGAAACCAACATAGCAAGTTAGTAAACTTCTGAGGTCCTCAGCATCCTTATCTATAAAATGGGGACATTGACAGTACTGCCTCATAGGATTGCTTTGGGAATTCAATGATATATTAGGCGTAAAGTGCTTGAAACAGTGCCACGTAAGCCTCAGGTTTGCTTTCTTTTTGCCACCCTAAGACATCTGTGGACAATCAGAATATTCTGACAAGAACATTGCCTGGATAATTTACACCACACTGAGTCTGGCACCTTGTAACTGACTGGAACATTTTTATACTTATGTTTCCAAGTACAACTGGCAATTTTTTTAAGGTAGCTTGAGGTCATAGCCAGTTCAGACCTATGGTACCCTGAATCTTCCCAATTCAGTAAATGACTTCACCATCCACGTAATAAACCTATTGGAGCTCCCAACCCAACAACAAATTCTGCTCACTCTGCCTTCAAAATCTACACAGTCAATAATCCATTCTCCACAGCTTTGGAGCATGACAGGTTCCAGTCCACCATGAACCCTTACCAAAGCTGCTGTTTGCTTTTCCCCATATTCTATTCTCAATGAGCCTCCAGAATCATTTTCTTAAAAACTTAAGTTTGTGCTATCCCTGACTTCCTCAAAAAACTCACTGGAACTCCTCCTTCTACAATTTCATATCCTAGACACTTGTTCTAGATCACTGTGCTCCAACTTTGCTAGCACTCTGGCTATCCCTTTAGCATACCAGACTTCTTTTGACCTCAGGTCCTCTGTACTTGCTCTTTCCTCTGCCTAGAATGTTCTTTTCATGGCTTACTCTCTCTTTTAGTCAGGGTCTTACACAAATGCTGATTCTTCAGAATCATTCCTGAGAAACCAATCAAGAAAGCATCCAAATATCTTCATAATCTCTTAATATGAGACTATAATGTTATGTGACAGTGTTTGTTTTTAAATATGAATTAGGCGACAAATTTTATAAATTGTGTCTTTCATATAAAAATAACCACTTTTGGCAAAAAACATGTCATTGTTTATTAGCATCCACTCTTTGTAGTTGCCACCACTGTCTATTACCTTCCTGACACCACTGACTTTCTTAGACTTGGGTGTTCCACTGTGTTAACTGCTTTACTCCATAGGCTTTCAGGACTCTCGATAAAAGATAACTGTGGTAAGTTTACCAGCATTTGTCCTAATGCCAGTGTAATTTTTCAAATTTAGAAATAAATTTGCTCCAATGTTAGACCTCCAAATCACATTCTTACTGAGATACCCATTGGGCCTGGTGCCATTCTAGTTTTAGAACAATAGCCCAGCTTGACAAACCTCACATAATACCCTCATCATGGAAAGGATGGAAGGACTCCATTGTGTTTCAAAATAGTTTTTGCTTTTGGTGGTTGTTTTTTTTAATTTTTAAAAAAGATAGATATGAAATACCTCTCTTTATTTTCTAAACCTCACGAACATTTGATCCAGATGCTAATTTAAAGTGATTCATTTACCCACGTGGGGCACACCCAATTGTCCTAGAAAGAAAATAACTGAGTTTAACAAAAAATGAATAGTTTCATAGTCTGCAGTCAAATAAAAAGAAATACATGCATTATAGCAAGAACTATATCTTTTTTCCTCATTGTGTAACTAGTTCCTACATAGTCTAGGGGCTTAAATATTTATTAAGCTTCAATTATGTGTCAGTACTGGGCAGTTGCTGAGCTCATACTGTTTTATACTCTAGGAGTGCCAGACAGCAAAACTAAACAAACAAGCATTATAATCTATGCAATAGGAGTTCATAAGTACTATAGATTAAAAAAGGAGGTAGAGTCAGGTAAGGGAGTCAGCCAGTCACTATGCTAACTTAAAGTCAGGATAGGTCATGTTTAAAGACTAAAGTTTGAATAAGATCTGAGGGATATAAGGAAGTTAGCAAAGTGTATCTGTGGGGAAGACACCCTCCTAGATAAGGAAGGACCACGTGTAAGCCTAGGCAGAAGTGTGCATGGTATGTTAAAGAGTAGCGTGCCTATTCTTGCTGAATTAGCCAACAGCCAAGTAAGTCGAGTACAGTGAAGAATAAATATATGGAACACACATACTGTTCTCCATAGTAGTCTAATCTCCCTATCTAAGGAACATGGTTCATTATCCATTTTTAATTAACCTAAGTTTTGATTGGCTTTGACCCGAGCATTTGTGACTCCATGACAATATGAGGGATTTTTAGCTCTGCGTTCAAATTTGTAAGGGGAACTTACGTGACTGGTCCCAGTTGGCCTTGCTGTGGAGATGCGGACCCTAAGCTATTGCATATGTATAACAAATTCTCCTGAACTGGCTGCACTTTCATTATTCCCAATACATGCTTTTATTCCATATACTGAATACCAGTGCTTATAGTCTATGAGGAAAAGAACAAGAACTGAAATTTGTTACCTTACACTGCATGCTAATTACTCTCCACTAAGTAATGCAGCTGAGAGGAACCTTGTGAAAATCTCCCTGACAGAGCTTCTCGTCTCCTCCATGCAGCTGCTTGCAGAGGACTGGCCCTTTGGAGCTGAGATGTGTAAGCTTGTGCCTTTCATACAGAAGGCCTCTGTGGGAATCACTGTGCTGAGTCTATGTGCTCTAAGTATCGACAGGTAAGAGCTTATATTGAAGCCAGGTATATCCTGACCTCTAGACTACTAATTGCCGTGTTACTGAGAAAATAAACTATGTAATTCAATAAAACCAGGTTCTGCCAGCTTGACAAACAGCTCTATTTTACTCTTCAGATATCGAGCTGTTGCTTCTTGGAGTCGAATTAAAGGTATTGGAGTTCCAAAGTGGACAGCAGTAGAAATTGTTTTAATTTGGGTGGTCTCAGTGGTTCTGGCTGTCCCTGAAGCCATGGGCTTTGATTTGATTACCATTGACTACAAAGGAAGTTATCTGCGAATCTGCTTGCTTAATCCCACCCAGAAAACAGGCTTCATGCAGGTAAATTTAATTGATTTTTTTTTCTGTCTGCTCTTGCCTTATAAATATTTAGCTATTGTCCCATGATCACTCTGTCTTGGGAAAGGATTGATTGATGACTGTCCTTGGCATAAATCGAGCATCCTCTCTGGATTGAGAGGTGAACAGTGACTAATTACCCAAGCTGCAAGAAGCTGGGTCACTACTTTTCTAAGAATCCTCTGGCTCTCAGGGATACATTCAAACAGCAAAAGGTTCACAGCAAAAGAAGTGAATTGATCTGAATTTATAGCTTTTCCACTCAATCCCCATAAGGACTGAGAACAACTACATATTCTGCATAAGACATTATTCATCAGAGGGAGTGAATGGTTCAGGGAATGATCAGGTAGAGGTCATGCTGCTACAGATGGATTCTGAATGGCAAGCCTGCCTTCAATCTAAAGGGAAAGCTGCCATTTCAAAGAATCTTCTTGGCCTTTTATTAAAGAATGTTTAATCAGGAAATAGGAAAAGAATGTGGATGCTGGTCTTTAGAAGAGATCATCAGTGTGCAAAGCTCTTACCAATACAATAATTTAAGTCAAAGGGTCAGCAATGATTTTCTTCTACTTCACATATAAGAAAACTATAAAAATTCATGAGTTGTATATACAATGAAATCAAAAGTATAAAAAGGAACATTAATGTGAAATTAAGAATGAGACTGTGATTTTCTTGTGACTTAATAGTTAAAAGGGGAAGAAGTACTATATAGGTTATATAATTCATTTCTGATACATATATAACTGGAGCAAAAACTTTCTAAAAAGGAAAAAAAAGCAGAAAAAGAGTAAGGGAAAGGTACAAGCCATAAACAACTTTGATTTTTTAATTGGTATAGAATTCTACATAATGAGCTAACTGATTAACACAGACCTTTTTATATCATTTTTCCCATGAAATAAACTTGTTAAACACTAGGGTATCTTCACATATTTAGAGTTGGAATTTCATACAAAGAATACCTTGAGGATAACTTGTTAAACCTGGAAGATAAAGCATTGAATTACTAAGTATTTTGAATTTTTTCTAAAATGCTTAAATTTTTACACATAATTATAGTACACTGCCTTCCAAGAATTAAAATGCATTTGAAGAAAATTTTGTTTCATTTCCTATCTTATTATTGTCCAGTAGATAAGATCTGAAAGATTCTATAGTTATTTTTGAAGTAGATATAATTTAAAAGACAATTTATTCCTTGTGAATTTTTTTATTTTAATATTTGGTATGTAATATTTTCTTACAGAGGAGTATTAATCACAAAATTTTCTCTCCTTCAAAGTTTTACAAGACAGCTAAAGACTGGTGGCTGTTTAGTTTCTATTTCTGCTTGCCATTGGCCATAACTGCATTTTTTTATACCCTGATGACATGTGAAATGTTGAGAAAGAAAAGTGGCATGCAGATTGCCTTAAATGATCACTTAAAGCAGGTAAGAAAATGGAAATATTTGCTGACTCATGACTATGATTATGAATATGAAAAAATAATAAACTCAAATTATTATATACCAGAGCATACTTCCTTTTTCTTGATGCTGATTATTTTGAACAAAGAATATATTTAATATTATTTATCTAGAGATAGAAATTATATCTATATAATCTTAAAGGACCGAGAAGGAGATCTCTAGTCATTTAAGTTCTAATTCACATTAACTATTGAGCTTAAAGTCCAGTATCCTGAATTTTTACAAATGCCAAGACTTTTTATATAGACAGTACTAGATATTCTGTTTGGAAAGAGAGAACACTGTGAGTATCATCCATTTTTGCAGGATCTGACTATTGTTTTATTTCAGAGACGGGAAGTGGCCAAGACAGTATTTTGCCTAGTCCTTGTCTTTGCCTTGTGTTGGCTTCCCCTTCACCTCAGCAGGATTCTGAAGCTCACTCTTTATGATGAGAATGACCCCAACAGATGTGAACTTTTGAGGTAAGAAAGGGAAAATAGAAATATTTTGTAAATAAATGACATGCAAAAGTTTTCCTCTTGGTCCCTTTCAAGGGCAGAAAACAGGGAAAACCATTTTCTCAGCCTTAGGGAGTAAGTAAGATTTCCATTTATTTTTACTCCTACTTGGGAGGGAGGGGTAAAGGGGACTTATGAGAACACTGGGAATGGGGAGCTAAGTTGTCCAAATGATGAATAAATGGCAGGATTCAAAATATCAAGTTTGATTCTCCTCTGTACTTTTATTACAGCCTGCTTCAGCACCTCCAAAAGAGATTTCATTTTATTTTTTTAATTTTATTTTATGTATTTTTACATCATTTTTCATTTTTGCACAATGTATGCATTTTCATCTTGGTTATAGTCTCCCTACAACCCCCCCCTTATTTTGACCCTAATCCCTCCTCCACCTCTCCCCCCCCATAGTGTGTATCTGGTTTATAGTTGCTGTTGAGTTTGATTTTAAAAGAGAATTAACTGGCATGGGGGAGGAGGGAGGTGTGATGATAGAGAACGAGAGAGACAAGCAGAGAAAGAGGTCATTATCAGCAAGACCAGTGACAGAGGGAAAAAACACTGTACCTGGGTAATCTTTTCCGTCACAAAAGCACAAGAGTGCAAACAATATATGCTCAGGGCAGCATGTTTTTCACAGACACATTTTGGGTAATTTTTTTCAGCTTTTTGTTGGTCTTGGACTATATCGGCATCAACATGGCCTCCCTGAATTCCTGCATTAATCCAATAGCTCTGTATTTGGTGAGCAAAAGATTCAAAAACTGTTTTAAGGTAAGAGGGTATTTAACAATAAACAATTCTTTTAATCTACCATCAAATATAACCTTTCTAAACTATTACTATTTCTATCTAGAGAGTTCTAGTAAGTTTTCCTTTGCATTACATTATGGATGATTTTTAAAATATGAGCTTTGTTCATAAATCACTTTAGTTGATTTCAGTCTACAAATCCTAGTCAACTTCTCCCTACGGCCTTAGTGAGCATGCTGTATGCATAGAATTGCTTAGAAAATTAATCAAACTATATGTATTTATGTTTAACAAATATCACTAAGTAAAAGAAAAGTTAAACATGAATTAAGTGCACTGTTCCTATTTTGGGTAGGTTTTGGATGTGCAGTGCAATGTGGATTAAATGGAAATAGCCAGTCAAATGAAGAAATTATTCAGGTTCTACCTCCTCTTTTCTGCTTTCTTTGTGTAGCAGTGAAGCACTACTTGACGTGGAATATGGTCTCCTTTTAATCTTAACATCCCTCCATTCATTCATTCTCGCCAACAATCCAACATGAAATAAAATATTCCCTCACTTTATATGGTAATAATTCATTTATCCCAGGTTGTTCATTATTGAAAAATCAAGAACTTAACATCCTTGTAAAACCAAAGGTTGTCTATGAAAATTCTTTACCCACTCATAAACTCAGGTGATAGTGTCAGGGAGAAAGGATAACTGGAAAATAACTTTTATCAAGATCAACTCCATCATTTTACAGAATAGAAAGCAATGACTCTCCTTATTTTTTATAAATACAGATATTCAGGAAACAAAGAAAAGGAACAAAGTTTTGAATTTTAAAAAAATCCATGAAAAAAAATTCGATAAATAAAACAGGCACTTATTGTGTAACAGTACTGACAAGGTACATGAGAATGTGGCTGAAAAATATGGCAACGTAATATTAATTCACTGACACACAAAGATCTTTATGACACTGTCAAGTGAAGTAGATTGCAGACATGCTTATTAAGATAAATTATATCCACACTTCTACAGATACACATACACGGTGTATATGTATGATAATATGTGTATTTGCATAGGAAAAAGTCTTGAATTATAAATTTATCAGCGATCAAGTATTCAAGAGTCAAATAGTAAGAATTAAGAGAGTCTCCTGGTGAGGAATTTTAATTATGTACATTTTCTTCTCTGTATTCTCTACCTTTAAGTGGTCATATACTATTTCTGTGATTTTTTTAAGGGGAAAAAAAAGAGTAAGGAAAGAATGTGGCCTAAGAATTCCAGATCATGGCAAGAAAGCCAAACCTTTAGAACATAGAAAGAGTAGTGACAGTATACCCGGTTGAAACATATCATGAGTTTTTTGTTTCATACAGTCATGCTTATGCTGCTGGTGCCAGTCATTTGAAGAAAAACAGTCCTTGGAGGAAAAGCAGTCGTGCTTAAAGTTCAAAGCTAATGATCACGGATACGACAACTTCCGTTCCAGTAATAAATACAGCTCATCTTGAAAGGAGGAATATTCGTTTAATTCCATTTTCTTTATTTTGGACAAAAGTCATTAAAAAAGTGAGGCATTTGCCAAAACAAAACAACTGTGTGTTTGCACAAAACAATATATGAGTGATTATTTTCTTAACACTTGTAGTTACGCATGACTTTTTATGAGCTGTTTACAGCATGAAAAGCAGTGAGAATTTAAAAAGCTTCATTGTGAAAGCACTTAATTTTCTACAGTCAGCACTTCCGTGTAGCTCTTACTAACTTCTAGTATATTCATACACCGCTTATGTTTAAAATGAGCTCACTCAGTATTCTTATGAAAGAGGTCTATTTTGTTTAATGTGAATCTTATACAAAGGAAAAATGTGTCACTGTGAAAGAATTTTAAAATGAAGTTTAAATTCCTCAATTTTAGAAATCCTTCAAAGGAGTTTTTTATGAATAATGTCAGACCATAAGTTGGACTATATAATTGGATATAAAATGTGAAAACAGTTAGCTGGTCTATTCTTTATTCTTCGACCTTCGAAACATTTAAATCATTAGGAGGGCGTATCAGAACAGGAGACCAAGGTTTTTGGAAGTCACTGAACTTGTTACATTTAGATAAACTCCAAGGGAGAGAGAAAAGGTTTGGAATATTAGCCCAAAACACTGCTTTTAAATCTCCCTTCACACACTCTGCAAAGAAAATACTACCTACAACTTTTTCAGGATTATTAATAAATTCTTCCTTCACTGTTGTCATTTAAATATTATTTGTTTAGTACTGTCATCTGTAAATACTCAACTACAATACATTACATGCAAATGATTAAATGAAGGGCAGGCCCCACTGTTCATACCTTTAGGATGGAGAGATGCCAGTAACCCCATAATGGACATAATGTGAGTTGCCTGGCGCAGTTGCCACATGACAGAGGCATCCTCTCCTCCAAGCTGTAGTTAAAGTGGTTTCTGGCATATATATAACATGATAGTTCAAATGCTATTTTTTAAGATCACACAAGTGAGTCAATTTAACAGTTATTTGTAAAGCTTACTACTAATTGTCATACTATTTTTGTAAATAACTAATAGGAAAAAAGTCTTTGACCTGGTGCTTTTCTGTCCCAAGTATCACAGCTTTTTATAAACTCTAAGAACCTCTAACTTTGTGCATTCTTGCCTAATTCTTTAATCCCCTCTGCAGAAGGCCTTGGGTTAGCTTGGGATGAGATGTGTGTGAAAATATGTACAAGAAAATGGGAGAGAGAGGAAATGAGGTGGGGTGAGAGGAAACCCATGGGGCGGATTCCCATTCTTAGCCTGACGTTCGTCATTGCCCCGTCACATCAATGCAAAAGGTCCTGATTCTGTTCCAGCAAAACACAGTGCAATGTTCTCAGAGTGACTTCAGGAACAAATTGGGCCCAAGAGCTTTAACTCTGTCTTAAAATATAACAGAGTTTCTACTCTTTTTTCTGTTGGTAACCTAGGGCCACATATTGGAAATAACCTAGCAATGTTGTTTTCTGCCAGCATGGGATGGGAAGATACAGTAAACCAAACCCAACAGTGTGGCCGAAAAGGAAGGACAAGAATTAATTCACATGCCACATGGATTCTATTTACAAATCACTTGGTCTTGTTTATTAATTTCTTCCCAATCACTATTTCAGATGTCTGTCATCACAAAGGACTCTCAAACTTTGGATTTTAAATTAAAATTGGGTAACTAATATTTTCCCACTTTGTAATACATGTTTTACCCACTTTTTTAAGTTTTTGCTCATTTTTAATACCATCTACTGAGTTTTGTTTTTATTCCTCATTTACATCCTAATATCTTCCTTTCTCCACGTCAGAATAGTGGTCTGTCTTCATCTTGCCAGATTTTGAAACTGTACACAGAGTCTATACATACACTATTTATAATGAAATTGTATTCAGTAGCTTTTTGAAAATGGTTTGATTTAAAATTCAAGGGTTGGTGAGAAACAAACATGGTTTCTTAGCATACTTAAAATGAAGACAGGGAAAGGTGCTACTGTTTAACTTTAAAACATTTTGTAGTATCAAAAACTGTATAATATAGCCATTGAAAAAAATAATGTTAACATGGTTAATAAAGCTTAAAAGATTTATAAGCAATGTTAGCCTGTTTTCTCCTTTCTACACTGCTAATATAAGTGTATATTCAAACACCTTTTAGTATTTGACAGCTTACATATGGCCAATGAAATAGTTTATAACAAAACATGGGCATGCTGTAGTTAACTTTATAAAATTGTAATATAACCATGTAAAATAACTATATATTTTGTTTTTCTATGGCCACTTAAAGTGGCAACTGTTGTAGTTGCTGATTCCTTATTATGTAAGCAAAATCAATAAAAAAAGTTAAATTGTTTTAAAAAAGAAACCAGCTTATTTTTTACTGTGCAAGCAATAATTCATTAATACTAATTGGTTGTGTTTAAAAGGAATACAGATGATATGAGTAGGTACTATTTATGTTAAGCATGCATTTATCAAGGAAATATGAAAGTTATTAAATTAAAATGTCAATCAAGTTTCTGGTCTCTAGGTTGCTTTGGTATGTTTCATTGTTGTAAGGAACCAGAAACACATACAGCCATTCAGTCTTCTGAGGTTGATTTTCTAGTTGATAGTTTCCAATAACTGCTTATATACATCTAATTTGATCTGCCTTTGGAGCATTTCTCTGCTTCATCATTACTGTACCATCAATCAAAGGTAAAAGGTGGAAATGAAATTTTGTCTTTACCTGTTTCATTCACATGAGTAAGTGCAAGTGCAAGATGGGATGAAAATAAAGTACAAATTTCCTACTTGTTAGGGACAGAAATAAAACTTAAGAAAAAGCAAAATGAGGACCTCCCCGGTGGTGCAGCGGTTGAGCGCTGGGTTGTGAAGCTGCCCACAGCCTCTGCAGCACCGGTTCGATGTCCGGCTGCTCCCTGGCCACCAGAGGAGGGTCCTGCATGGCGCGAGACCTCTCCTGCTGCCCGCTGCTCCCCTCAGCAGTGCATTTCCGTCCTTCTGCCTGTTCTGCTCCCCGCTCTGGTGAATTCTCTCACCCTCCCGCGCTTCTGACTGTACCCAGTGCTTGTATAAATAAATAAATAAATCTTTAACAAAAAAATTGTCTACTCTTTAAAAAAAAAAGGCAAAATGAAATGAGCACTAAATGCCTATATGCTGATAGGTCTGAAAGCTCATGTATTTGTCTCTTAGCACATAATCCTTTCCTTCACCTGACAAAAATAATGAAGAATTAGCATGTATTCTTTCCCACATAATTACATTAAACCCAGATTACTATTTCAAGAGTTTCTATGACTTATCCATAGATTTATCCATAGAGGTCAATCTGTGAGCAGTGACTCTGGGCTGATTTATGACATTAAATAATCAACAGACTGAATGAAGATACCCAAATTGGAAATTCCCATGGGATACTTCCAGGATTCAAGGTTTACTTGAGCACAGGGAATAATCTTTGTCATGTTAGCAAGGCAACATGTGTAATGGAAAAAAGCACAAAAAGTAAAAAATATCCTTGATTATTATTATTATTAATATCCTTGATTATTTTTACAAAATAGTAGACCTTGAATAAGTCATTTTTATCTAAGAATCTCAGTTTAATTATCTATAAAATGCATATATTTATATCCCAAGCCTACTTCTTATATCAAATAAAAAAATATTAGTGTACTCATTCTAGAATTTCAGTGTCTGCTCTAAAATATAGATATGCTCACATGTAGAACATATAGTTCCTGCTCTCCAGAAAACTCACAATCTAAAAGGTGAGATAGACAAGTAAGCATAAAAATCAATTAATATGTTATAGGTAGTGGAATACAGATACACATAGAGTAAGAAATTCAACACAGCAGCTGGTACTTGAATTGGTACTTGAAACTTCATTGAGTCTCAAATGAAGGAAATTCAGGCAAACAAGTAGTATATGGCATCGTGGACAAAATAACTATTGAAATTGAAAGGGGTAATTCAGCATGGCCACTCCAGGAAAAGGGCTGACCTCCAGTCTGCTGGGCTAGAGGCTGTGAGCTGAGAGGTGGGGCTGGAAAGACAGGAAAGGCAAGGAGGGTCATGCTTTCCATGCAGTGGGATACGGGCCAGTGTTTTTCAAATGTCAGAGGAATGCACGCTACAGATGCACCTAGGATGTTTATTTTAAAAATGCAGATTCCCAGCCTCCATCTCCAATGAACATAATCAGAACTTCTGATGTAGGGCTTGGAAGTATTTAATTTAACTAAGACTTCCCATGCTTGAATGCACCTAAAATCGGGGAAGCCCTGCAGCATAGGTATTTGCAAAAACTGAGTATTTTAAACAAGGGGTAAAAGGATAAGTTGTTTTCACAAGACATTTTGGAAGCAGGTGGAGCAATGAGGATGGATAAACACCCAGTGCAACTGACAGGGGAAAAACACTAGGGTCTGAAAGAGGAGAGTGTGTGGGGTGGTGGTGGATAGATCTGGACAGGCAAAGTCTTCATGATGTGCTGACCACATCATGGTCAACTAGAGGTTTAACTAGAATAGCCATTAACCTACGTCAGGGGTCAGCAAACTGTGGCTGATGGGACAAATTCAGCCTACTACTCCATTTTTATAAAGTTTTAATGGAATACAGTCACACTGATTTGTTTACATATGGATGAGGGTTACTTTTCACTACCACAGCACAACTGACGAACTATATATACATGGCTCACGAAGCCTGAAATATTTACTATCTGGCCTTTATAGAAAAAAATTGCCAATACCTGATTTATATAAACAATATTAAGAGATAAGAGGCAGCAACTGAATTGGTTGGAGAAAAAGAGAGTCTGGGAATGCAATGAATTTTGTTTGGAATTTAATGTACCCAAGGTACCATGGGGCACCCGAGGAGCCATCTAGGTTAAGGATAAAAACTGTTTATCGATAAAAAGAGAATAGTGGAAATGTTTAAGGCAATCAGAAAA